GGGGGAGGGTAGTTGGTCTCCCATCTCTAATATCCACAAGTCCTCTGGTGCATTGCCAGGGTGACACTATTTCTTCTTGGTAGACCTCTTTCCTTGTCCTTTTGCGGGCTTTCCTTTCCCACGGAGCTTTTTCAGTCGTTTCATCTCATCTTTAAAGTCTGCATGTTCATCTCTAGATGAAAAGAACAGAAAGACTAAATTTAGCTCCATTCCCAGTAATGTCTCATAGGTAGCTTGATGTGTAGGATTCTTTTATTTTTGGCCTATAGTGAGAAGACAACTTTGCTAGTGAACAAAACTTATACTGAATCCAATGATAGTATATGCAATGTTATTGTTAGCAATGCAAGTTTTAAACAGAATAATTTAAGAGATTTTTCTCTGGTATTTATGGAATTAATAAGGTTGCCCTTTTCAGTGATAAACAGAATACATATTTCTTACACTGCATTTATTGATCTCTTGTGCCCAAATTCAAAGTAAAATACAAAATCAACAAGAGACAAGACTCAGAATTCCCACCTTCCAAGCTAGCTCAGCAGTCTAGTGACAGCACACTGGATGGCTGTGCTGGGAAATCAAGTTGAGGGCATGAGCTCCTGAGAAGTGACATGCTTGGCTGCAGTAACTTTGCTTTACAGCAGGGGTAGCACAGCATCCAGCCTGTGGAGTCATGTCATCCAACTTGCACACTTTTGCCCCATCCCTGGCCATAGTGGGGGAACTTCTGCTGGTGCTGAAGCTGCAAGAAGCCCTGTCACTGTGGCTGGAGCCAGCACAGGTACGGCGGTACGGCTTTTCCCCACAGTACCACTGGAGCTACCAGTGCCCCAGCTCTCACGAGAGCACTGGCTGTTGCCATGGGAAACCCTGCAACCACAAACATGGGACTCTGGCTGCAGTGGTGGAGCTTCTGCCCATGGTGCTATGGGGACTGGAGCTACCATGGCCGAAGCTTCTGCCCATCATGCCACTGGGCCTGGCAGCACCCTGGCTCTAACCAAGGTGTTTGTTGCTACTATAGAAAGCCCTGTCAGGACTCTGGCCACTATGGTGGGGCTTCCATCTGCACTGCTGCTGGGGCTGGAACTTTCACCACAGGAAGCTCTACCACAGCAGCCAGGGACTTCCAGTGACAGCGCTGAGGTGAACTCCAAATACATCTGAAAAGCTGGGAATGAGTCTCCCCAGCAGATCTGAGTTTGACACCCCTGCTTTGCAGTTGCACATTGAAGTCACCTGCAAACAATGATTATGTTCACAAAGAGGGTCTTAATAGAACAGAATAAAAAAAGGACAAAGATGAAGGGGTTGAACAGGGCAGACAGTGCCTCCTAAGGGATCCAGTAGATAAGTGCTGGGACTCTTGGTGCTCTGGTGTAGTGCCCGAAGACTGGAAGAAGGCCAATGTGGTGCCAATCTTCAAGAAAGGAAGGAAAGTGGATCCGGCAAATTATAGGCCCATCAGCCTGACTTCTAAGGGAAGATCTTAGAAAAGTTTATTAAAGAGGCCATCCTTAATGGACTGGCTGACACCAACATCTTGAGAAATAGCCAGCACAGGTTTGTTGCGAGTAGGTATTGCTTGACCAATCTCATTTCCTTTTATGTCCAGGTGACCTATCACCTGGACCAGGGAGAAGAGATTGATGTCATATATCTTGACTTCAAAAAAGCCTTTGATCTGGTATCCCATGATCACCTCTTGGCAAAACTGGCCAATTGTGGCCTTCCACCACGATCCGCTGGCTGGGAAATTGGCTCAGTGGTCGGACCCAGAGAGTGGTAATTGACAGAAGTCAATTGTCATGGTGCCCTGTGACCAGTGGGGTCCCCCAAAGCTCTGTCCTTGGACTCATATTGTTCAACATCTTCATTAATGATGTAGACATTGGAGTCAGCAGCGGACTGGCCAAGTTCACCGATGACACCAAACTTTGGGGCAAACCATCCACACCCGAAGACAGGAAGGCGATCCAGGCTGACCTGGACAGGCTCAGCAAATGGGTGGATGAGAACTTGATGGTGTTTAACACCGAAAAATGCAAGATTCTCCACCTTGAGAAAAAAACCTGCAGCACCCTTATAGGCTTGGCAGTGCTACGCTGGCTAGCACTATGGAAGAAAGAGACTTGGGGGTCATCATTGACCACAAGATGAACATGAGCCTGCAAT